AAACACTCTCACATGAAGACATGCCCAGATGTGTATCTCCTAGGTGATTCCAAATCCAATCAACTTGACAGTGAAGATGAACCACCACCATAAAGGGTTCTCAGTCTCATTCAGCTTTGTAATCTTTGACTTCACCTGATGTCCTTGTGCAGTCAAATCAGTATGCTGATTCTGCTTCCTTCGGCAAATGGCCTGGACCTTATTACATCTCTATCTGTCCTTAGGAGCCTGTGTGTATAGTTCACACGGGTCTGTGCCAAGATGACTCATGAATGCCCAGCTATATTCAGCCCACTACCTCATGGTTGATCTAAACTCCTCAGTTGATGAGCCTACCCACATGTTGCACAACCACACCTATTGGCTCTACTGCCAGTGACATCTCCCCTCACTTGGGTCCTTCATGTCTTCCACCTTGACAACTGTTCCTTCATCTCTTGTCAGTTCCTAAATCTATTCTTCACAGGCATTGTCCAAAATTCCACCATTCTTTCAAAGTTCTCTTGCTGCTCACCCACTGTTTACTCCTAATAGAGACCCATATATGATAAGACTTAAGTTTTTCTGAGCTACTGTATTAGTTTACAGTGAAAAGCTTTTTTATTTTATCTGCTCATTTATTTAAGATGGAGTCTTGTAGAGCTCTGGCTGGCTTCAACTTGTGATCTGCTTGCCTCAGCATCCTGAGAGCTGGAACCACAGACATGCACAACCACACCCAGCTCAACAAAGAGGTATTTTTAAGATCAAGATACAACACATTATGGGCTGGGGAGATGGCTCAGCTAGTAAAATGCTTGCCTTACAAGCACAAGGACCTAAGCTGGATCTGAAGCAGCCATGTAAAAAATCTCCAGGTACCCATATGTAATCCCAGATCTGGGGAGATGTAGATAAGCAGGTCCCTGGAACTCACTGGTCAGTCAGCCTAGCCTACTTGGAAAGTTCCAGACTTAAAGTACGTAAGAACACCTGAGGTATGACACCCAAGGTTGTCGTCTGGCCCTCCGTATGGATGTATACTCACCATACACACTAACACATTAAAAAGATTGTTTCTAACATTATTCACACTTCCCAGAGTGCTTCATGGAGTCAGCTGTCTGCTGCCTCAAACCTTCGCCTCTGGTGGGTCCATTCAGAATACTCTGGTTCTCCTACTTCTGACCACACTCCACTCCCTTCACTTCCTCTGCCAGTTTCTCTGCCGACAATCTATTCTGCCTCAGATGTCATTTCCCACAACATTCCTGCCAGGGTGATCCCATCCACCCCCACAACCTCATTTATTGTTGTCTTGTGCTGATGGCATCTTAATTACATGTAGTTATCCAACTCAAATAACCAAATTCCTCTGGCTGTCCCTTATAAACCTCAACCTCAACATACCACACCAAACTTATTAACTTGTCCACTGGCCTACTTCTCTGCAATCCTTCTAGTTTAAGGAAGTATCATCCATCTTTTTTTTTTTTCCAAGTCCTGCATAAACCAGTCATGGCAGTGCACACCTGATTTAGCACTCAGGAGATGGAGACAAGAGGGTCAGAGGTTCAAGTCATCCTTGGCTACATAGCAAGTTCAAGGGTACCCTAGACTACTGGTTGAAGATAAAAAAAAAATCCAGAACTGAATTCACAAACCCACAAGTGCACGCTGAACCAAAAATTAAAAGAATTTTTAAAAACAGAATCTAAACAAATCAAAGTGAGCCAAAAAATCTTGAAGACAAAATCAAGTTTAAATATCTGGAGTGAACAGTCAAGTCTACAAAGGAAGAACTAACAGCAGACTTGTCATCTGCAACATGAGGCATGGAGTTAAAAACCTTCAAAAGGAGGTGCCGGTGAGATGGCTCAGTGGGCAAAGGTGTTTACTGGCAAGGCTGAGGCCCTGAGTTTGAACTGATGCCTGCAAATTGTCTTCTGATGTCACACACTATCTGTGGTCCATGGTCCTTCTCCATAAATATAATCAAAACCAAATTTTTTAAACTTTAGTGCTGAAGGACAAAAGAGAAAACGGTGAACCCAGAATTCTATTCTGTTGGTAATGAAATACTTTTTCAGACACACCGAGCTCAGAGTTAAACCACTGGAAGAATTGTCTCAAACAGAAGATTAATTTCATGAAAATGAAAAAAAAGTATTACATGATCTTGACCAAGTATGGATTCCATCTGGAAATACATGATATCTACATCACTGAGAATTGCCTCAGTGGAGGGGAACAGCTCAGTGCAAACAGACTTCATAAGCAAAGCAGGGAGCCACAAGATGACTCAGCTGGGAAAGGTGCAAATCTGACAAACTGAGTTCAATTCCTGAAACCCATGTCAGGTGGAAAGAGGAAACCAACTTCATGAAGTATCAGTGGGCACAGACTAGTGAATTTTGTTTTCTTAGCATGCTGGGTGTGGTGGTGCACACCTTTAAGCCCAGCACTTGGGAGGCAGAGGCAGGTGGATCTCTGAGAGTTTGAGGCCAGCCTGGTCTAGATAGCAAGTTCCAGGACAGCTGGGGCTACAAGGAGATCGTCTGAAAAAGACCAAAAAAAAAAAAAAAAAAAAAAAAAAAAAAAAAAAGTCTCTGTTTCTCAGAGGTCCAAATTCTTGCAACTTCAAATAATAAGAGCAAAGACACATTGTTAAAATGTTTACCATTTTCCTTCAGTGCAGAAAATAGGTATTATACATTTGTATGTTTATCAAATATTGAAACCATTTTCTTTTTGCCAGAAATATCTTTTCTTGTTTAAGAACTATGTGGTGGTTTGAATGAGAATGTCTCCAATAGGCTCCAAGTATTCAGATATTTTGTCCCCAGTTAGTGGCACTGTTTTGGGAGGTAGAAGATGTGGCCATGCTGGAGAAAGCAAGTCACTGGGGGCAGGCTTACAGAGTTCTTAAGCCTTGCTGGATCTCTAGTTGTCCTCTGCTTCCTGTTCCTGCTTGAAGATGTGAGTGCTTAGCTTCTGCTCCTACTCCAGCCACCTCTGCTGCCATGCTTTCCCACCATGATGGACTCTTGCCCTGTTGGAATCCTAAGTTAAACTCTTTTATAAATTCCCTTGATCATGGTGTTTCTATCACACCGAGAGAAAACTAACTAATGCAGTAACTAGTGCCTGAGAGCAGGCTGTTGGCTGTGAAGAACCTGACCATGTGGGGTTTTGGAATGTGGTAGAATTTGGAAGTTTGGGCTAGAAAAGTAGCTGAATGCTGTAAGCAGAGTTTATGAGGCCATTCTAGTAGGCACCTAGAAGGAAGTAGTGCCTAGAACAATAGTTCCAGGGGAAAATAAGGACTTAAGCAGCAACTGGGATATTTTGGCAAACAGTCTGGTTGGAGTTTTCCGACAGAGAAAAAGCTTGCCTGCAGGTAAGTTGAAAAGTAATGGACTAATTTCTTTGGTGAGTATATCAAGGCAGCCTAACATAAAAAATGGTGGTGTGGCTATTAATGGTTGATCTACAGTGATCTACAAATTTACAATGAAAAAGAGCAAATGGGGCAGAAAGAAATGCAGAATGTATAGTTTGGACTGAAAAAGAGCACAAGGAAGGTAAATGTTGGAGCCCTGGCATGTGCTGAAGGAGAGGATCTCTTTGATAAGGAGATTAAAGTGAATAAGGAGAGGCCTAGAGATTTGCACTTAAACAATGGAGAGAGTGCCTCCAGGGCAAGACCACACCCAGCTAAACCTCCAACTTGTGAAAGTAAAATGCTAGGGTTTTCTCCTAGAAAACCACTGAAGAGAAAAGCTTCTAAAATGGATAAAGCAGGCTGGAGTCCATCCCAAACTTGCAGCCAAACTTGGCAGTACTGTTCACCTAGTGCTGGTTTTAGAGGCATGAAAGATGCAAGAGTGAAGGGGTCATCAGTTCTTCCTCCTGGTTTCAGAGAGCTACCCAGCATGCAGCAGGGGCATCCCTGCATAAAGAAGGCCTTGATAGGCCATTGTATGAAACTGTGAAGGTGAAGCCTGGTTGGCAGTGAAGACCCCAAGAGAACATTTTTGATGCCAGAGCTGTGAGACATCTGCCAAGAAGAGCTGCATACAGGGAGTGGTACCAACCCAAGAGAGAGATGTATGTTTCACACAGCAAAGCTGGAGAGGCTGAGCCATCTAAGCCCTTTAGGGAAGTAAAGTCCCAGAAGTTGGGACATGGAGCCACTGGATTTGGTGTTTACCCTGCTGGTTTTCAGTCATGTTTTAGTCCAGTATTTCCTCACTATTCCTCTATTCCTCCCTTTTGGAACAGGAATGTGTTTCCAGTTCCAGTGTATGTTGGGAGTATGTAATTTGTCTTTTGTTTTTACATGACCTTATAGTTAAGATATTGCCCTGAGTTTCAGAAAAGACTTTGGACTGTGGACTTCTGAATAGTATTGAGACTGGTAAAGACTATGGGGACTTTTAAGGTTGGATTAGATGTATTCTGTATTTTATATGTTGACAAGCCTATGGTGGCCAGGGAGTGGACTGTGGTGGTTTGAATGACAATGTCCCCCATAGGCTCTGGGTATTTGGACATTTTGTCCCCAGCTGGTGGCACTGTTTTGGGAGGTCTTAGAAGGTGTGGCCATGCTGGAAGAAGCACGTCACTGAGGGCAAACTTACAGAGCTCTTAAGCCTTGCCAGATCTCCAGTCATGCTCTGTTTCCTGTGCCTGTTTGAAGATGTGAGCACTTAGCTTCTGCTCCTACTCCAGCCACCCCTGTCGCCATGCCTCCCTGTCATGATGGATTCTTGCCCTTTTGGAATTGTAAGTTAAATAAACTCTTCCTTTTATAATTTCCCTTGGTCATGGTGTTTCTATCACAGCAAGAGAAAAGTAGCCTTATACAAACTGTAATAATGATCATTCTATCCTCATTGATTTGCCTAGCTTTCTTTAATCAATTCTTAGCAAATCCCATCACATGTATTAATTTTTTAAGATTAACCCACAGTATCAATTCTAATACTCATCATGAAGAAGATAAAAGGACTCAGGCATGGTGATAATTACATATTTAATACATCTTGCTTTTAACAGCAATTTTCAAAGTAAACATATCATAGACCTTATAACTTATTAAAGATTTATAGTGTTTACAAATTTGATTCTAAAAATATACCTTATTTATTCTAAATGAATAACATTATCTGAAAGACAAAATAATAAATTATGGTAGGATGTTTGCCACCACTATCCTTAGGCTTGTGTACACATATTCCAAATGGAATCATCTTAGGATGTTCACACTCAGCCTGAAAACACAGAAGCACATTACAGTTTGGCATACAAGATCACAGTCTGATAGCATTTCTTTAGAAGGAAAAATTTTAAGTATCTACTTGACATTGTGGGGAAGCACGGACACAGGCACGCAATTACATGCACACGTCCTCTGTCGCCTCCACTCAACTCAACACACAACACACACACACACCACACACACACCACGCATGCACTCACACACACACACACACACACACACCAGGTACTTAGAAGAATTTACTCTTGTGCATCAAGATAATTAACAATTTCGGAAAGGAAAATGAAGGGCAAAGTCATCTAATATATTTAAAACATATGAAAATGTCTGGAGTCATTAACGAGACATGCCCCAAACTGTTACCAAACTCTTTGACATGTTTTGTCAATGCATTCTCCAAGGATGCATCTGTTCACCAGTAGACATCAGCTCCTAGGGAGTTATGCATCCATCCATTCCCTAGACTGCACTTGGGAAGGTGGCAAACGCAAGCCTTCCAGGGACAGTCAGTCACATGACCCTGCCCAGCTAGAGAAGTCTGCTTTATAGAACCCAATTGGATTACTTTCATCTGTCTGCTATTTCTTGCATGTCCCATGTGAAAAAGCAGTGAGCTTTGGGAGCAAGAAACGAGACAGAAGTTATTTGTATTTAGTTATTTGTACATTTCCCAATTTAAAATCAAAACAAGTTAGTGCTGATAACTTCCCCTGCCCATCACATATACCTTCAGTAAACTCTGTCAACTCAGAAAATTACTCTTTGGGTCCTTGCAGGAATGCAGGCTTAAAACCATTCTATAGAAGTTCATTGTTACCATACATTAAAAGACTCAAACTCTGAAATAACAGCAACATAGAGACAAACCCCACACTGGAGCACTTGTAACTCACACTGCTGTAATCAGAAACAAAAAAGGCACAAGTGCCAGCGAAAGAGAAAGACCAGCTACCCATTTGCTTTCTGTTTGGTTGGTTTTTGGCTTTCCTCTTCTTTTGTTTTACTAAATTTCTAAATTGTTTGAAGCGTTCAATATACTATGTATGACAGTAATAGCATATTTTGGCACGTCAACACTGTGGTACAATGCATGGTATGTTTAAAAAATTAATTTAGAAATTTCATATGCTCATCAACGTATCTTTCATGAAGTGCACATATATCTTACATTTATTTAAACCAAATACCTAAAGGTTTGTAACTGATTTACAGAAGAAGCAATCACAGACTGCAGAAACAACGTGTGTGTGCATTTGCACACACCAATCAAGGAAAAACTGCATCCTCACAATTTCACAGTCTGAAGTTTTGTTGGTGTGCTCATCGTGGACAAGCAGTTTTCTTCTTGTCTTCCTGTGTGAAAGATGTACCTTTGCTGTCTTCATTCCTGATGAGATTTTTCTGCAATAACTTTACATTCATACTGCAAAGATTAAAAGGTCAAAAAGTCAACAGATTTTAGATCTCTTTTGAATTACAACTTCCAAATAAGTTAAAAAGTTCTAGACATGAATGTTTTAATATGTGTCTGCTCTATTCCTCAAAGATTGAGAGTTCCAGAGAGACATTCTGAGAGCAAAAGCTACAGACAGCAGAGGGGGAAAATGAAATCTCTGAATTATGAGCAACAGCAGCTGGTGATTCAGGGAAATTCTATATCTAAAAGGGACACAGGGTGTTTCTTTAGTGCTCCATCAGGCTAATCAGCAAGGGATGGGCTGTGAATGTCAGGACAGGGATGATGCAGTAAATTCAAATCATTGTTTCAAGTCAACTCTGTAAGTTAACAGAAAAAAATGCAGTATCAAGACTTTCAATCAAAACAATATTCTAACACAATAGCTATCAAAAGTTATAGTTAATAGCTACAATTCAAGATAAAGGAAACCAACAGAGCTAGAACAAGTAAGCGGCCAGATTATCAAGAAGAAAGGTAAATCACAATTCTCCCAGATGGCTGAACTCACAGAAGTGACAGCAGTTACTGCTGTGGCCCTCAATTCCATTTTGCAACCTTTGTCAGCATGACTACAGTTTACCAAACAATGTCCCTTTCATTCCTAACTAAAAATGAACAAATAATCCTATCTGCTAGAGACAGCCTTAATTTATAAGTATTGTAGCAATGTGGTTTTAAAACTGCTGCTAGGCATACATGAGGGCCTGGGTTCCATCCGCAATACACACCTAATCTGGGTATGGTGGGGGTAGTCCTGTAACCCAGGAGGTAGAAGTAGGCATTCAAGGTATCCTAGGCTACAAAGTGAGTCCAAGACCAGGCTGTGCTACATGAGACACTATCTTCAAGGTTTGAAAAGAAAAAAAAGAAAAAAAATGTTCTTTTTTTTTTGATGAAATGGAATACTACAAATTAATAAAATCAAAATAATAATTATATAATATCCCTATATTGTCAATAAATTCTATCATTCTATCAATGAATTTTGTCTTTTCTCTCCAGTTGCTCCTAAGTACTAATACTTCTTGATTAAACATTTCCAAATAATTTACTTCAATAAAAGTGCAAAAGATATCAAGGGATGCTGTCTTCATCAACACTGGTTGATGCCATTTTGAGAAAATGTCAGGCAGCTCCCACAGAAAACTGACTTGAGCCCCAGCTTACCATCGCCAGTTGCCGACCAATGTTCCCCATTGTAATGCCTCCAGCAAAGAATATACATGGCAACCAGGAACGGACATAGAGGAAATCTGGAGATGTGTATCTAGAACAACAGAAATACTAAGAACCCACAGAGCAAGCACAATGAAGATCAAGTATCTTTAGATTAAACTAGGCTAACCTAGATCAAAAGCTCAATTCTGGATGCAGTTATCATAGATTTACATAGCAAATAGGTACCAAGAGCAATACTTACTGATAAACACCATTGTAGACAAGCAGTTGAGTGACTAACGTTGCCAGGAAAGCAATTCCAACTCCAAGGCCAAAACCACTTCTCGATCTATCAAAGGTCCACCAAAGTCCAATGGATAGTGCAGCCAGTGTGAGAGACAACTGTATGTTGTTATCAAAGTCCACTTTCTGAGATCACTATTAAGGAGCCACCATAAAACACAGGCAAACAGGTAGTATCAGCTGTTCACTTCTCTACAATAAGACAGCAGACCTCCGCTTGGGGGGGGGGGTTGAGACAGGGTCTCTTTAGAGGCCCAACTAGCTCGGAACTCCCTGTGTAGACCAGACTGGCCTCTGCCTCCCAAGTACTAGGATTAACAGTATGGGCCACCACGCCCAGAGGGAGAGGCTACTTTTGAAGGAATTGCTTATTCTTTAGTATATTCAGCCTTGTAATATATAAAGTGTAAATAAAAACTTCTGTCTAGAATTTACTAATACCATATACAGAGGTTATTAATAGATCCTACCCACCTGTAACCCCTCCCCTGAAAGGCTCTATACACTTCCAATGATAAGGTCAGATCTACTCTTTAGGAAATGCTTTCTTTGCTAAGCATGTTAACTATAAGCTTCAGAATGCCAGTACTGCTAAAAGAACACACTTGGGGGGAAAAAAAAGAAAGAAAAAAGAAAACCAATAATACTTCTCAAAGAGGTTTAGAATTACTTGAAAATCATACAGGGACTTGGAAATAGAAGAGCTGACAGCTATTTAACAGAGTGCCACATTTGCTGTGTGATTTACTGACAGACACATTTTATAATAATGCAGTTCAGAAACAAGAGTACCAAGGACACAGTATCCCCTTCTATTATGTCAACTGCTCTGCTTTTAATTTGTTGAGGATAAAGCCTTGAAGGGAACATTATCTTCCACCCTGCCAAGCTATTCTGGTGCCTGCGACTTTCTAGCAGGACACTTTGCTCTGATGATATTTTATTTCTGGCACCAACTTAAGCATCTATTCACAAACACACAGCCCTTTTTTTAAAACTCAAAAATCTTTGAACAGAATGAAGCTTTACAAATTCAATTTTCTGATTTCTTCGCTAGAGGATTACACTAAAAGAATTAATTTTGAGTGTCATTAAAGGGTATTATCTACGTCCCAAAGGCCACATCTTGGCTTTGTAACTGGCTCCTTTCGGGGAGGGGGGGAGAACCAGAGATCTGACCAAACTAACTAGCCTAGCTAGTACTACAGGGTGTGTGTGTGTGTGTGTGTATGTGTGTGTGTGTGTGCGTGTGTGTGTGTGTGTGGTATGTATGCCTAGCAAGCCATTTCCTGATTCTGTTGACACCCCCACTTTCCTCTACCATTCCCACATCCCACCAAAGAAGTATCCAGAACCCCTGCTTGCGGACTCCTTGGCATCCAAGGACTGCTGTGTGCCACTCCCTTAAGGTCAGTTCTTGTGCTAGGCTGATTTATCAAGAAACCAGTAGTTGATCTGGGCACACTCTCTGGACAAGTTTCTGTCACTGTCCATCTGTCACATGTAAACACCAAAGGCAAGGGTCTGAACAGAGATTCCTTTGTGCAATAGGCATTCAAACAAATAAACATTGGGATTTGATACTAATGGGGTCCATCCTTGCTAACTACATTAACATATTCAGCACAATAAGGAGGCTTCTAAAGTGTAAATAAGTAAAATACATCAATCTCAAAAACGGTACCTTGTGGTTTTTTAAAAGTCTACATAAACTAATATGAAGTCTTTGCTAATTTTATAAACATTTTGGATTTTCTTTAAAGAATAGACATGACAACTAAAATTGCTGTATTTAAGTATTTCATTCAGAAACAAGAAAAAGTGAACAAAGAAAAGAATGTATACTGTATACAAGGTTTTTAAAGTTCTAGAAGAAGCTATTTAAACATCTCTACTTAGAAACTATGAGCCTGAGGAGATGGCTCAGTGGGTAAAGTATGTGCAGTAAAAACAGGAAAACCTGAGTTTGGATCACCAGCACCCACATAAGTCAGGCCAGTGATGTGTATCTGTAAACTCAATACTAGAAGGTAGGGGGGATTGTAAGGGGAACACAAGAGGATCCCTGGAGCTCGCTGGCCAGACAGTCTGGTCAAATTGGTGAGTTCCAGGTTTAGTGAGAAGTGCCTCATACAACAAGGTGGAGAGATAAAGGAAAACACTTGACATGGACCTCTGGCTTCCACATGCATACACTTGATAAGTCTACTCATACATACATGTGTACAACACACACACACACACACACACACACACACACACACGAAAATAAAACAAAAACCAAACTACAAACAAAAAACAGAAATGGTGGCTGAGGGTATAGGATAGAAAGGTCTAGCCCAGCAGACATGTGATTCAAACACATCCACCTTCGAAATTGCTGGGCAAGAGAATGAAACATTTCTAAAGTTGGGTCAGGTGTTCTAGGGTCCTCTCTTGCTAAGCTGCATCCTGGCAGCATGGGTGACAGCAAATTACTCAGCCTCCTGAGCTTCGCTTCCATGTAGCTCATTCATTGTTAGAAAGTAAGGAACTAGGTGATTCTGAAGTCTCCTTGTAGCCTGTGACCTGTGTAGCTCCAGCTGGTCTAGAACTTGCTATGTAGACCAGGCTGGCCTGGATCTCACAGAGATCTCCGCCTCCCTCTGCCATGTACAATCATGCCCTGTTGGTTTTACCTTTTTAAGCCCGCCTAACTGCCTCCACTTTTTTTTCTTTTAATAAAATCTTCAATCTCTAAAAGCTCACCAAAATAAGCATGTTATGAAATTCTTTAATAATAAAAGGAAATAGAAAACCAAAATATGGAGACATGAGGGACTTTAAAATTCATAAACCTGCAGGGGCCAGTGACACTTGCCTGGGCATAGGAAGTGTCTTCAGGATCAGTCAGGTCCCTGACTTTTTCCAGGGTTCTTGTTCCAAAATGTCTTCTAAATACCCCGGCACCTTTGGCAAGAGGATCTGCCCTGCACCTAGTGCATTTACAAGCAAAGCTGGCCGCTGGTGTCCCCCTTCCAAACTCAGCAGCCCAGAGTCCATTCCTTCTCATCTCAGTTCCCTTGGCTCTGGTCACCTTTCTTGTGTAATGTATATTTTCTAGAAGAAGGAAGTCACAATGAGCAGCTCTCAGATCATCTTCTACAAAGCAAAGTTGAGGGTACAAAGGACATGAGGGAGAGAAGCAGAAGAATGGGATGAAAACCTAACCTCACCTGAGTAAAAACGTGCTTTATGGTAGACTGTCTTCTCTGTGGGCAAGAGACAGGGGCATAGAAAACGATGGCTACCTTACTTCTCCTCATAAGATGCTACAAAAATACTGATTAAGCTGGGCTTGGTAGCTCAGGCCTACAGTACCAGCACTCCTGAGGCTAAAACAGAAGGATCACAAGTTCAAGGCCAGCCCAGACTACACAATGAGTAAATAAAATATTAGAATCCTCAAAGGATAGCTTAGAGAAAATTTTTTTTCTTTTTTTCATTATTCCAAAGAGAGGCAATTTTTAATATATTTTTCTGGAAATAACTTGAAGCACATTATACACACACACACACACACACACACACACACACACACACATACATACAGTGAAATTTAAGGGGAAAAAATAGGAATAAGAAATCAAAGACCAAAGGAGTTGCCAACACGAGGTTAACTATGGTGGAATAATGAAGGTTTCCATTAGTCCCATTTTTTCTATTTTTTAAATCCTGAGTTTATTGGGTGGGGGTTCATTTACAGAAGAATGGGTGCCCCCCCTTTACAGCTGCACTGGAAAATCCACACTCAAATATACATCCTATGACTTCCGAACAGCCACACAAAATGGTGAGGGGGTGCCTCATGGCACCATACACATCCTTAGCCCCTCTCCCACATACAGATGTGGTCATCTGACTGGGTGGGAGGAGTAACTGACTCCCCCATCAATTCCTTGATGAGCATGGGAAGAAGGTGTGACTATAGCCTATCGGCATAGTGGTTGGAAGACACTTCCAGTTAACATGCCACCCCTTCCTCCAGCTCTTACATTCTTGAGAAAAATTTTCTTACCAGAGTCTAAGTTGGCTACTTGTTATGTCAACTTTAAAAATATTCTGGATATAAAAACAAGGAATTTTGAGGGTAGAAAGTTCAAGCTGGGATGGGCATGGGCAATGGAGGATGTGAACTGAAGGGTGAGGGAGGGAAAGCTAAGCAAAACTAAGGATGGATGAAAACTAAGGATGTATGTATGAGTTTCCATATGGAAACTCGGTACTCTATATGCCAATTAAAAATTTAAGTTAACAACAGAGAGAATTAGAAGGGAGTTATTGGACATGTCTGGAGAATGCTCCTTCTGAAAATCAAAGATTACTAAACAAACTCCCCAGGAACAGGTGTGAGATACCTCCTTGGGAGCTGTTGGCTTGGCAGGCCCCAGAAGCCTACAATCAACATAGCTTCTGCCATTCTTTTTGCCCACCAAAACTAGGTGATAAGACCATATTACTGAAAATATCACATATCCTGCTTACCTGCAAGGTTCAGTGAAATCAGGCTGGAACTGGGCTAGAAGCTTCCTCCCTGCTGGCCTCAGGTTTCATAGTGCTGGAAGGTGCTATGCAGTCTTGTCAAGCTATGAACCCTATACTCTCTAATACCAACCTGCCAGGCAAGATGAGTCCACAGGTGCAATAGTGCTACCTTTTGTATGGGGTTCCCATATAATAGTTATGGGAATAACTAACTACTCTGCCTAAATTAAAAACTCAGTCCATAAGAGTATCATACCTGGTACTATAAACCCAATAAAAAACCCATGGCTATGGAGTCTTAGGCCCCAGGAATTAAATCACTACTATTACTTAGCTAAATTATCATGGTGCCAAGCTGCCTTCTAAATACTTGTTTATATCCACAGATGAATGCTACTCCCAGACCTAATCAGAGAAGCCTCTCTTTGCAATGAATGGCAGGGAATACAGAGATGCATGGTTGTTCAAGGTACTAAGAATAAGTGACCAATGAAGTGTTCAGCCTAAACAGGACATCTGCCCCACTCCTTCTAAAGTCCAGGCATTGTCATGGAATGGAAGACAGGAGAGAATTTAAAGAGATGGAAGACAGGGGGAAGGCTGGGAAATGCTGACTTCTGGGCATGACACAGTCAGTGCCATCACTACCTCGCAGAAACTGTGACTGCCCATGTACACAAGACTGAGCCTATCAACCGTCAATCATGGATCAGGGAGGGGCTTATGGTGTCCTATTATTCCCTGCTGAACTATGGGCTACAGAGAGATTGTGGGGGAGGGGCAGTCATTATCTTCAGCTGAGTACCCACTGAGGAGTCTCAATGGATAGTCCCAAACCCACTGTCACAGGGCTGGTCCTGGTTAAATTCAGTGGAAAACAAAAAAACAACAAAAGTCTAGAAGGTAGAAAAAGGAACTTGTAGGGTGAAAGAGCAATAACAGGAGAGGGAAAAAAAGAAGGGTGGGTCATAGGAATCAGAATGTGCTTTATACATGCATCAAATTGTCAAAGAACAAACTCAAAGTTATCTTAAAAAAAAAAATCAGCAGAGGTAAGGATGGGAGGGTATCACAGACAAGCATCCAGACTGCACTGAGAGTTAACAAGTGGGTCACAGTTTTCAAAAAGAAAAACACAAAACATAAAAGCCAAAGTAAAACAAACAAAGTCTAGAGGCTGAGGCAACGGGTCACAAGTTCGAGGACAGTTAATACATAGACCTTATTTTTAAAAAAAGAAAAAGAAAAGAGAAGTGCTCTTAGATATTGGTTAAAACCAATAAATGACAGCATGCTTTCTGACAAAATTAGACTTAAGAAAATGAAGAAATGAAAACAAAACAGCTTCTGAAACTACCTGGGTGTCTTTACTGGAAAATCTTAAGTGAGGAAAGAAATAGGGGGAAAATCTTTTGAAAATGTACCTGTTTCAATTGCCTAACTTAGGAAAAACATACCTTTTAAAAGTGGGTGGAGTTCCAAGTGAGACTGGAAACCAGACTTGCTACAGGCTCTACCCTCCTCTAACTGCACACTTGCTACCCTGTCTTGCAGCAATTGGGGTGGCATTCTTTTTGTAACTCAGTGAGAAAATCATAGCCAACTAGAGTGAGATTGCAAGCTGCCTCATTACTGTGCATTTCAAGAAGGATACAGCACTAGCATGATTTATACCAACGAACACTGCCACACAGCGCATAACACTGGACCACTCTCTCTTAAATTTATGTGGTTCTCCTAGATGTCTGTCAATGCAGGGGTATAATAACCCGATCACAGCTGTGGAAAAAAGAAAAAAAAAATCAAGTCATCTCTAGTACTGTAGTGGAAGCAAAAATCACTACAGCCACTATCTTACAGACTCTTTAAAAAGAAAAAATTCAAATAACAACATTAATCACTGGCATTTTTAAACTTACCTTCCAAAGGAAAAAGTGAGGATAGCAATACCACCAAAGAAAGCAATATGAAGAGTTGCAACAGAGCTCTACAGTCAAAACACCTTATAGACAAAACATCTTAGAGTGATTCATGAGTGAGCAAGCGCGGGCCTAGATGACTCAAGGCACTTCTAACAGTACCTACTAGACTTAGAAGCACAAGCCAGCAGTATATAAGGGGAAACTAGACAGTGAATATCTACAACCACCTTCTGGTACGCACAACGCTCCATGGTCCTGCCATCCTGCTATTCACATCAGTCTTGCCACTGCCAACTTCCTGTCTGCCTTCTGCACCTAGCATCCTTTCCTGACACTGCTTTCCTCCCTGTCCTACTACCACTACAGGTTGCATTATGAAAGGAGGAAACTCAAACCAGAAATCTATACATAAGCTTCATTCATACATAGGAAAAATGAAGGACACATGGCATCTAAGAATTACAAATTTCCAGACATGGTAGGATGCCTTTAATCTCAGCCCTCAGAAGGTAGAGACAGGCAGATCTCTATGAGTTCAAGGCCAGCCTGATCTATAAAGTAAGTTCTGGACCAGCCAGGGAAACATAGTGAGATCCTGTCTTAAAAAAATAGTTTTGAAAAGAATTACAAATTTACAGATAAAATTTAAATTCATGGTTAAAAGAAGAAAATATCTTAGCATATTTCTTAGTTTTAGAAGGAACATCTTGACTGCTATCTGTGTAATTATCAATATAACGACTGCATACACAATTTCTATAACTGAGCCCTAAACTATTCTCATCCTATTCTTACCTTAAATTCCTGTCAAATCTCAACATTTTATTCCCATAGACAAAACCTGTGTTTGGGGATGGGGGTATGTAAGATGCATGTGGAGGCCAGAAGACAATCTCTGGTGTCATCCTCAGCCACTACTCACCTTGTGCTTTTGAGACAGGGCCTCGTACCGGCCTGGAACTAGCCAGGTAGGCTAGGCTGCCTGGCCAGGGAGCCCCAGGCTGCTTGTCCCCCCATCCAGCACAGGAATTACAAGCATGCACTACCAAACCTAACTTTTCTTCTAACGTGAGTTCTGAGGGATCAAACTCAGGTCCTCATGCTTGCAAGGCAAGCACTTTACCAACGGCCTTCCAAGCCCATAAGAAAATTTTAGGTTTTACAATTAATTTTTTTTGTTTTATAAAACTTTATTGCAAAGGCTATCAGTTTATATTGCCACTGCATTGCTCAGAGTTAAAGTATTGTGGGGAAATAATACAAGACTACTATGCTTTGAATATTGCTCAGGCTTATTGCAAAATAATTTTAGACAATGGAGGTAGACTGATAGGGCAATAATTTAAACCTCACAGGCCCTGATTAGTGTCAGGACATTTTTCTTTTGTCATTCAGGTTCTAACAGAGCTAGAAATACACTCAAGTACTATTAAACTCAGAGACGGCATAACGCATTTAAAACATCTTAGTTTTCACTTTCTCCCAGTTCCTATACAAATGTACTTGGTGTCTCTTGGCCCTCAAATAGGCAAGTTTTAAAAATACTTACTCCAGAACTGCAAAGGCAAACATCGAAAGGTGGAAACATATCCTTTCATCCTGTTAGGATGGCTGTTATCAAAAAGGTGCTGGCAAGGAGTGGGTCAAATAGATCCCTGTTGCACTGGTGATGCGATGGTAATGTTCAGCCACTGTGCAGAGATGTTTGCTAGCCCGAGTCTTAGTTTTCTATACAGAAAGTCAAATAGATAATGCTTCCCCAGATTTCAGATATTAGCTTTAATGAAGGTAGAGCATCTTTTGATAACATTTAAAGAAAACAGCACTTTAGCAAGTTTTAGGTAAATGTGGTTCTACTATCAACCTATTGTTAGCTTATTGTTAATAAGTGGGGTGCAAGAGGACTAACGGAGGCCTGGGCTTGCCCCAATGCTCAGGATAACCTAGGCGTTCTATAACTTGGACATTCTTGACTCTACAAAGCAGCAACCAAAGTCAATAAAGCCTGCTTCAACCAACCTTTGCATTTTAAAACTAGAAAATGGGCAGGTACCTTGGGCATAAACTTCAGGTTAATAGATTTTAAGGGCTGGTTAAAAACCAGAAGCATCTGTAGTCAATTAAGCTGACTAGGTTCCTTTCCTCATGGGCCTGGTGTGAGACGGCGGTAAATAGCAGCCTCTGTTGTAGTGTGTGCAGTCTGTCGCCTATATGGGTTGCCCTAAGGGACCTTGGAGACAGTTTTCTGGTAGATATCCATGTCTCTGATCTTAATGCTGTCTCCAGCCTAGGTTCCAGACAGGTAAGTGGGGAAGCCCAAGGATAGTAGCCAGGGTTCACATTGGCCAGGCCAAGTCCATCCACATCAAGTTACAGAATAAGAAACATGTGATTGAGGCCCTGCATAGAGCCAAATTTAAGTTCTCTAGCCACCAGAAAATCCACATCTCAAAGAAGTGGGGCTGCACCAAGTTTCACACAGGTGAATTTCAAGATATGATATCTGAAAAGCAGCTCATCTCTGACAGCTGTGGGTCAAATTAATTCCCAATCATGGTTCCCTGAAGAAGTGGCAGGCCCTGCACTCCTGAAGGCATCCACTGTGCTGAGTCCTACACCCCACCAAATCATGTTCAGTAATAAAATGAAACTATGTTCATTTCACAGTCTGCCAACAACAACAACAACAACAACAACAAAAAAACAGAACTAAAGATTCATTTTTCAGTTTAAAAGCACACTTTTACAGTTCAAAATATAGTAAAAAGTAGTTGTTGTAGATCATTCTGTGCCATATTTAATTTTTAATCACTATTTTTAAAATTTTTTAATAACTACATGACTAGAAGAAGCATTTCATTACAGCTTTAACATATTCAGTAACACACTCCAGAGCAGGAGTACATCCCTTTCACAAGTGGCTGTAAGTTTCTAGGTTCACAGTTGAATTAATACAGTTATACAATATTGAATTCAGTATAAGCCCTGTAAGACATAAAATTGAATGAGTTTTTAACCTTTAAAAAAGATCTCCATTTCATTTTAGAATATATTGTTACTTGCAGAAAGATTCATTGTTTTTTATTAATTTTTAAAGATTTACTTTGTTAGTATGCAAATGTGCATGCAGGACCCCAAGAGGCTAGTAGAGGGTGCTGGATCTCCTGTATCTGGAGTTACAGGCAGTTGTGAGCTGACAGATATGGATGCTGGGAACCAAACTAGGTCCTGTGCAAGGACAGCAAGTGCTCTTAACTACTGAGCTATCCCTCTAGCATTCCTCCCCTTTTAAATTTCAAATGCTAAGTTAGTATAAGAAAGAACTAATATACCAAAATATTAATCATTTATAAGGAAAAGTACTTCCTCAGATTAAACTGAATAGGAAATAGCTAGACAGTTTTGATTTGCTAATCTTCCCCAAAACAGAATTACACTAGCATTTTGGTAATAAAGATACAGCTGCTACATCAGTCAAAAAGCATGCTTAAAATGTCCAATATCATCTATGATATACAATGAAATTATGTCAAAATCTAAGCATTTGAGGGTCAAAGCCCCTCTCCCACCTGGCATGGCTTGCTGCAGTTCACAGCATTCCATCTAATCTTCACATAAAAATTGTAGCTGGGTTGGGGAGATGGAGTGCTATGCAAACCTGAGGACCTGAGTGTGTATCACTAGAATACCCTAAAGGTGGGCATAGTTGCATGTATCTGCAACTCCAATATTCCTACAGAAGAATGGAAAGTGGAGACAAGAGAATTCCTGGAAGCTTGTGGGCCAGCCATTCTGGCAAACACAGTCAGGAAGAAGAGACCCTGTCTTAAACGAGGTAGAAGTTGAGAACAGATAGTTATATCTGACCTCACAGGCACCACGGCACAGGCATGACACCCATCGCCCCACCCCACCCCAACACACACACACAGAGAAAAAAGTTAAAAATTAAAATAAAAATGGGAATCAATTAACATCAAAATCCCAGGCACACAGCGTAACAGCAAGGGAAACAGGCAGCCTGGGTCCTTTCCCATCTGGAGAAGAGACTGCAGTGCTCTGTGCTCTTTCCAGTTCATGACACTTCCCACCTAAGCTTTTGTTGAGTTTACATGGGTCATGGACCATCAAGAGATCAGCAACAAATCTCTGCAAAGCACAGCTCCACAAGCTATTAGAAAATTTAAGTTTCAAGGCTGGGGTGATAGCTCAGTTGATGAAGTGATTGCCTTGCAAGCATGAGGGACTTTTTTTTTTTTTTTTTTTTTTAAGGTGGATAGTGTCTGAAGGAGGGTAGCTGAGGTTGTCCTCTGGCCTCCACATATAGATGTGCAAATACACCTGCACACACATGAACATGCAGGCACACATACACAAAGGAAATCTAAGTTTCACATTATCGTCCTGTTTAAAACACACTGCTACAGAATCCCACTAGATTAACTGACAGTGCTTCTAAATTTCTACATGATTAAAATGACAACAAGCATGCCTAATAGTTGAAAAATGTCTAAATGGTACTTCTTTTTTCCTTAAGGGGTCACAAAACTAACAGCTCATTTGTCATTGCCCCCTTCTCTGTATAATATATGCATAGACAGATATAAATACGGATAGATATATCTGCATCTATGTCATCTATTATCCATCATCTGCCATCTATCATCCATTTATCTATCAGCCACCTATTATTTATCATCCATAATCCATCACATATCTATGTCAATTACTTTATCATTTATTATCTATCTACCTATCATTCATCCATCTACCAATCCATCTCTCTCTCTCTCTCTCTTTCTTTCTCTCTCTCTCTCTCTTACCTGTGGCTGAGTAAAAATCAACTTAGAGCAGGCATTCCAAGTCAATTTTCCTCAGCATCTGATGCCATAGGTAAAGAATTATCACATAGACATACTGACATGTATGTATAAAGATATAAATAAGTAAAATGGACTATATTTTTATGCGAGAGACAACTTAGAAGAGAAAGCAAAAACACAAAAAGGAATTTAAAATGCCACACTGCCAACCTCAGGATTTGCCAATAAAAATCAAATCCATTGAGTACGCATGGTCCTCAGTTGCTCACTGAGCGGGAGAATTCACGGAAGCTTGTCACTTCCCATTAAATGTCTTCTTTCTTTCCTTTAAATAAAGGCATGGCAGAGTCTGATAGGAATATACACAGTGGAGTGAGGCACCACTGTCTGAGCTCAGTGGAGTATGTCTGGGCTTCCTTTCCTCTGCCTGCACTTTTTTTTTTTTTTAAGGAGAGACTTAAAATCATGCCTGTGTAAAATCATATGCAAATACTATTCTGCTTAATCAGATGGTTCTCTGATGCACAATCAAGTGTCTTGTGATATCTTTAAGTGATTTTCCAGTAACAGTCTGTCAAGACCAAAGACAAAGGTGCTGGTAAAGCACCTTAGTAAGCCATCACTTCCTCAGGACAGTGTGCTCAGAGCAGTGAGGCAGTAAAAGGAACACAGTTAAATTAGACATCTAGCAGTGAAGGGGCTGAAGAAAACAAGCCTACTCAGCAAGGTGCACTTTCATGGAAAACTACAATGGAACCAGGTCATGTTTTCATTAAGCAAATGCATAAGCCCAATAATGTATGTGATTCTTGGTATCTGCTAAGGATTTAAAAAGGGAAATATGAATGCTGGAGACATGGCTCAGTTGGTAAAGTGCTTGCTCTGTAAGCAAAAGGACCTGAGTCTGATTATCAAAATCTACTTAATAGAACAAATACATCATACAAACAACAAAAACAGGTATGGTGGTTGTGTGTGCTTGCAATCCCTGCACTGGGAGGCAGAGACAGGTGGACCCCTGAGGCTCAATGGTCAGCCAGCCTAGCCTACTTGGAGAGTTGCAGGACAGTGAGAGACCTTATCTCAAAAAAACCAGGTGGACAGCACCTAAGGAATGACAACTGAGGTTATCCTTTGGCACACACACACACGTACACACACATACACGGACACACATCACATTAAACAAAGAGGAAGCCACGATCCTCATGTGACCACAGGCACTACCGTATACTGTATTAAGTACTGACAGGGCATTAGGGATTCTGATCCTGTCCTTGAAGAGGAAGAGAGACAGGGTGCTCAGATACAGGGAAAGCACAGAAGAGGTGACTCTGCAGGCAGGAGCATTCAGCGGGTAACTGGCATGGAAGGAGCACACTTGTCAAAAGGAGGCTCTTAAGGGAACACGGGGACAACTGAAAAGTAGGCAGTATTTCTAGGAAACTGTAAGCTTTGGGCACGAAGAGAAATTCAGGATCTAGAAAGGCTCAGGGTTAGATAAAAGTAGGCATGTCTCACCACTGACTAAGCTGGTGGCTGGTCAGAGAGCTCCTGAGATCTGCTCATCTCCAATTGGCAATGCTGGGGTTATAGGTATGTGGGCAGAGCCTAGCTCTTACATGGGGATTTGAGCTCAGTCTTCTCACTCTTACCCATTGAGCCATCTCCCCAGCCCTAAGTAACCCCTCCCTCCTCTAACCTTCCTTTTGCCTATCCTGAAAACACATGTTCTTGCAAATCCTCTAAAGGCTCTACTGACAAGCAGACAGAGTTGTACCTTAGAGAGGAAAGTAAAAAAAACTGGAAGTCACTGAAAAAACTTTATTTTTCTCTTCTGATTAAAATGAAGGAAAATAAAGGAGACCAGGAGATAGAGCAAAGAATGGTATAATATAACTTGGGTTTTCTTGTCTGGACTACTTCTCTCGAAGAATGATAAGCTTTGGGGGGACCAGAATCACTGCTTTGTGACCTCTCTTTAGTTTGAGTGCTCCAACAGTTAAACAGCGCTACCTAAGCAACATGAAACTTAAACTCAACAATGTCCACCTATCCATGCAAGTTTCCCAAGGTCACTTTAAGACGTCCACAAGTCAACCCCACCCTTTGGACAGACACATCTGTAATCTAGCTCTAGGATATAGGACAAAAAGGACCTGCATTAGTCGCAAGGTCTTCACATATAGGTCTTCATGTATGTTAGGTACAGCTATTCAGAATCAGAATGATCTTCTCCCACATGGGAGACTACCTTCCAGTACTTTATCACATGAACAGTACTGACCCTTTGACCTTGTCATTAAACATACCTGAAGAGCTGTCCATTACCAAAGCTCCACATCAACCAAGCATCTGGAACACTCCACCTACCCGTCACACTGGCCACTAAAAGAAATGATCCTAAGTCACTAAGATTGAGAGGATTTTAAGTAAATACAGTCTACTTCATTGGTCTCTTTAAGTATTTATTATTGCTCTGGTACATTTAAAAACCAGGTAACAAGGATAAAAAAAAACACAAAAATCTAAAAATAAAACATCGTTTTCAACTTGCATAAAATTATTCCATTTTTTGAGTTGTCTGCTTCAAAACAAGATTATAGCTCATTCCTCAAAACCTTAAAATTAAACAGCAGTGAGTATTATCAAACTATCTTGGAACAAGACTTAGATGAAATGAGTGCAAAAAAGAAAAGATGCTAAGTGCTTCATTCCATAAAGGATCAGAATTGGTTTGGGGGTGAAAATTCAAAGGCGTAGGAGACAGGCACAAAAGAGTAACAACTCTCAAATAGTTATCGATCTAGTGCTGACCTGCCACCTATTTCTCACCTCCCCTTTGGGCCTTTGTTTGAGCTGACATGGGTTCTGCATTGGATGCCACCACTGCCGCAGGTGCACACGAGCAAGCTTCCATTGGCCTTGAAGCCTCCACCTCATACATTCATGAACCAGCCCTGGCTCTTACAATCTTTCCTTCTCCTCTTCCGCAAAGGTCCCTGAGCTGTAGCTGCTGAATGAGGGAGAGTATGACTTACATACAATCACTAGATGGGCTGACTAGACTCCAGTGAACACATTTACATTGAAGGACATATGGGTACAAACACCTGAATGAAAAGGACTCAGCATGTATAGCAGAGTGCATAGGGCTCAGTGGGGGGATAGGGGGAGGCATGGATAGGAGAAGGTCTGGATTTAAGTGGGAAATTTATGAAATTTTAAAAGCTCAATTAAAAAAAAGTTTAAAAAAAAGAGTAACTACTAGATAACTCCACTGATGTAAACATCCTAGGGCAGCAGAAATAATCTTGGAACTAATCTTGGAGCACAGAAAGCAGGGCAGCAGTAGCCTGAGGCTGGGGGTGGGGAAGGAGTGCAAGAGGGCATAAAGAATTTGAGGGATGACTGCTCAGCTGGGACCACGGTTTCGTGACTGCATGCATGCGCCCAAACACAAACTGTTCATCCACATCAAGTCCACTGTATTCCAAATCATATCCCAGCAAAGCTGACTGGCTCAGTTGGTAAAGTGCTTGCCTCACAAGCATGAAGACCTCAGTTTGGATCCCCAGCACCCAAGTAATATGTCAGGTGTGGTGATGCACAAGCATCTTGGTGCTGTGGAGGTAGAAATAGATAGATCCCAGGAGCTCAGTGGCCAGCCAGTCTAGCCAATTAGTGAGCTCCAGGTTCAGTGACTCTGTCTAAAAAAATAAGGTGAGACTGAGGATGATACCCAAAGCCAATCTCTGGCCTCCACAAACACATGTTCATATATACATGTACACCCCCATACATCTGGCACCCCCACAAACACACAAAAGTTTGTTGCTTAGACAATATCCTCTTCATTTCTAAGCAACACAAAAAGGCCTTACACATACCTGACGCTGTGCCACAGCATGGTGGTACCCACCATGCAGAAGAAAAGATGCTTGTTATCACATCAGGTGGAAAGAGTGTCACATTTCTCTGAATCTGAAGCAAGTTCAACACTAATGCAAGGAAAACTCCAATAAAGAAGAGCACAATCCCTCGGATCAGCAAGTTCACACTCTGGCTGGTGACAGAGGAAATGTATGGGCCACACTTTTTGGGCCCAGGTGACTCCGTCTCTCCTTCTGCCATGGTTTCATAAGTTCAGTAAGCCGTGAAAAATATAAAATAAAATAAGGCTTCCCAGCTGAAAAGGTGAATGGTCTGTGAATAAGAGCTGACCAGCGTTTCAATGGTACCACATCTTGTCCTAAAGTGGGACCTACCAGAAGTCCTACAAGAGATAAGAAAGAAATCAGTGTTTGATACATGGCTGCACAAGCTTTCAAATTTTAATACTAGCTAAACAGAATCAGAATGAAATGACATTTGTACACTAGTTTATTATTATTTACTGAATAAGAAAAGGCTTTAAAAGTACCCCTATATGTATGTTGTAACCAAAAAATAAAATGCTAGATTTATATTTACTAGGATAAAACAAGTAACTTAAGAGACCTCAACAACAGGGGCTGGGAGATGGCTCAGTTGGTAAAGTGTTTGCCCTACAATCATGAGGACCCTAGTTTGATCCCTAGCACCCACATAAAAAGCCAGGCATTGTAGCAGGAGGCCTCCAAAGATGGCGCGGACCCAGAGCCCTGGGATTCAGCAAGAATTCACTTCACTTCTTGGTCTGCAAATAGCCCTCCAAAAGGAGCTCACGCCTCTGTACCCTGCTCGCGAGCCCAGTGACTGCTGACAGACTGTGTGGCGCGGACCAATCAGAATACCATACGCTGGGGGCGGAGAAAAAGGAAATATAGGGCCTGCCTCCTCCTGCATTAAAGGAGCCTGCAGCACCTCGCCCAGTGCTTGCTTCTACCGGACTCCTGGGGTCTGTGTGTAGTGACTCTGCACCTCTTACCCCCTAATCAGCAGGGGGCCCGATCCAGGTTAGGATCTTCACAGCTGGCCTGAGGAGAACCTGCAACAAGGCATGGTGACATGTACCTGTAAATCCCAGCTCTAGGGAGGAGACAGAAGGGTCCCTGGGGCTTGCTGGCCAGATAGCCTAGCCAAATCAGTGAGTTTCAGGTTCAGTGAGCAACTCTGTCTCAAAAACAAGGTGGAGAGGGACTGAGGAAGACACCCAAACAGGACCTCTGGCCTCCATATGCACATATCATAGTTACATATATTTACACACACACACACACACACACACAGAGCGAGAGCGAGAGAGCGAGAGAGCGAGAGAGCGAGAGAGCGAGAGAGAGTTTGACATTAGAATAATAGAAAAATAGTTTTTCCCACCTCAGAGAAAAGTCAAACAAGAAATCTGAAACACTTCTAAAAGGGATCTTGGAAGATGAAAGATCAATCTTAAAATATTCCATCTAAATCTCCAACTCCATTAGTTGCAATAGAGTATTTTATACTTAGTGGAAAACAAACATATTCTGACTGAAGATACTGCATTTTTTCATAATAAAATGTGACTTGCTCATGAGGGCAGTGATTTCAAAACGAAATAACCGGTCCAAAATATTTCATGCTTATGTTATTGAACTTCTGCACAAAAGCATTCTACAAACACCAACCCACCAAGCCCCTACCTACACATACAGCAGCCAGAAAAGCCAGCCCTCACCCACTCTGCCCAGGACCAAAGCTGTACCCCCCACCCCCCACTGGCTTCAGTGTCAATTGTTACAACCATGGATGTGGGGGGGGGGGTTACAAGATAGTAAAAAGAAGCAGCAGAAGAAAAGAAGTTAAGAGAATAAAGGGTAACCCAATGACTGCTTCTGAGAATCAGCCTAGGTGTTTGCTCACTTCTCTAAAATGACTGCTGTGGTTTGACTGTATCTCTGCAGAGATTGGTGTGATGGCAGCTCAGGCCTCACTTTGGTGATGGGAGATGATACCTTTAAGAAGTGGGGCCTTGGGACTGGACAGATGGCTCAGTGGTTAGGAACACTGGTTGTTCTTGCAGAGGACCCGGGTTTGAATCCGAGCACCTACATGGCAACTAACAGCTGTCTGTAACTCCAGTCCCAGGGGATCTGACAGTCTCTTCTGGCCTCCGCGGGCATTGCACAGCACGGGTACACTGACCTACATGCAGGCAATACATGCATACACATAAAATAAAATTTAAAAATTAATTAAAAAATAAATTTAAAAAAAAAAGAAGTGGGGTCTAGCCTGGGGGTAAAGCAGGGGATGGAGGCACATGCTTATAATGGTGATAAAGAGTTCAAGGTCAGTCGGCAGAGCATAGACAGGGCACAGACCTTTAATCCCAGCACTCAGGAGGCTGAAGCAGGTGGATCTCTGTGAGATTGAGGTCAGCTTAATCTACATAGTGAGTTCAAGGTCAGCTGAGGCTACAGGGAGACCCTGTCTCAAAAAACAGAAAACAACAAAAACAAAACTCCCAAGAGTTCAAGGTCATTTTCAACTACGTGAGTTCAAGGTCCTTTTAGCCAAGAAACTGGCTTCAAGGCTAACCTGAGCTATGTGAGATTTATCTTTTAAAGGGGGCAGGGAAGAAGACACACACAAACCAGGGGAATGTTCTTAGGCTAGCTCGGGGCACTGCCCTGGGAGGGAAGGGCCCAGCCACTCTGCTCCCTGTCTTGTGATCTTGCCCTCTCACCTGCACTCTGCCATCTGCTGAGGCCCTCACCAGAACAGAGCTAGTGCTGGCAAGTCACACCCTTGAATCTCCAGAATGATGAGCAAAATAAACCTGTTTTTGTTATAAGGTTAGCCTGCTTCCAGTATTTCCTTATAGTAACATAAGATGGATTAATGTAGTGATCTTTCATGCATGGTTTAAGACAAATAACATGGGAGGTTTTTCATGTGTTTTTCTAAGCACCTGACACAGGTAACTCATTTAACCCTAACAATAATCCTAAGAGTAACAGGTATGGTTCTGTGAAAACTGTTTTGAAATATAAAAATAATATTTATTTTATTTCTTTTTAAAAATTTTATGGAATTTTTGTGATTTTCATAAAATATAGTTTAATGGTATTTAGAGACCCTCCCTTATTTGCACCTCCTCCCACTGCCCCTATCCAACTCAATGTACTCTCTTACATATATATATAACATGGCCCACAGAGTCTGACTTTTGTCCTTCAGTGTGGGTCGGTCCAGTAGGCCCAGCAAGAGTTCCATCTCTGTAAGAGACTGTTTTTCCCCTCCCAGCAGTCACCAACTGACTAAAGTTCCTTAGGCTGGGTTGGGATGTCTATGCTGGGATGTCTGGTTTGAGCCTGCATGGAACTTGTGCATGCTGTCACCATTGCTGTGAGTTCATATGTGTAACTGACTAGCTGTTTGAAGATTTTTTTCTTTGTGGTCATCTACCCCCTCTGGCTCTTACAATCTTTCCACCTCCTCTTCCGCAATGATCCCTGAGCCTTAGGAGACAGAGTTTGAAACGGGGTATCCTATTCAGGGATAAGCCCTCTGTGGCCTCTTATTCTCTGCACATTGGCCAACTGAGGGTTTCTGTGTTAATCAACATCTGCAGCATAAGGAAACTTCTCTGGTGAGAGTGAGAAATGCATTCATCCTATGTTGAGAGGTTGCATTGAAAATGTGTCACTTAGGGCTAAGCATCTCACTGACACTTATTCTTATCTTACCCAACTATAACACATCTTAGGTATCTCTGTAAGTTATTGTCTAAATTAAATGGTTTATCTTTTGAACCCTATGGCAATTATCTCTTTTTCATTTTTTAAATTAAATTACATATTTATTTTGTATGAGTATGTGTCTGGGCACATGTTACCAAGGTGCACTTGAAGTCAGAGGACCACTTGCAGATGTTGGCTCCCTCCTTCCACCATATGGGTCCTGGGGATCAAACTGAGGTTGCCAGGTTTAGCAACAAGCACCTTTACCTGCTGAGCCATCTTGCTGACTTCACAGATGACACCTCTAATAGCTACCTGTAACTATATGTACAGCTGCTTGATGGATTATGAGCTTCTTTTTTTTTAATTTTTACAAAAACTTTGAGAATTTCATACATGTATATAAGGTGTTTTGATCAAATCATGCCCACCCACTCCCCTCCAACATTCCCCTAAAATCTTTTAAGGATTAGATATAAGCTCCCAAATACTTTTGACAGTTTTGGCCTTTGGAACAAAGTGTGTTGCTAACAGGCCCAAGGACATTTTGACTTTTAGCCAAGAAACTGGCTACATTTCTTTAGGGTCTTTTTACCCTAACTGCCTAGCCAATTCCTACCTCCTATTCTTATCATGCCATTCTCTGAAGGGGTTACCCAAATTGCCAATAGGGAATAGGGACACAGGCTGCCCTGGCTTCTTCCATGCTAAACAGGGATGCAGGGTGAGGTAACTGGAGTACCCCGTCAGTGGGTCTGTCTAAAAGACTCCCAAATGACATAACTCTTGTCCCTAAGGGAAGAAGAAAGTCCTTGAATCATGAATAGAAGATGTGAAGGAGAAGTAAAGGCAAGAGTAATTAGCACTACAAGTTCTAGACAGGGAACTAGAAAAAAGTCAGAACAGGGCAGTTTTCAAATGTTCATATGAAAGTCTACTGGAGTTTCTTGACAAGGGCTTCCAACAGCATTCCTCTATTGGGTTCTTCTTCATTTTTCTTTTGTCTTCCAAGGCTGGACTAGTTGGCTGGGAAGAGGGGCTTCTTATATAGGTCTTCTTCACTATATCTTCCACTGTGCCTCTGTACCCAGCAAGAGTCCTGCTTAGCCCATTCTAGGAGTTCCAATAGTCAGACCTGTTTAATTATGCTGGGTGAGCTCTTCTAGGATCAAGCTCTCCCAGGTTCATCACTCCTTTGAGAAGGCAAATCTAGAACCTAATCACTATTTAAACTACATTGCTTCTGAGTCTCCAATTTTCAAACTACCTTACAGTGATATTTTTGGAACAAAGCTTAATGTATAAATTGCAGAGAAGGGAGCTGACATTAGAAAGCACCATTATGGGCCTAGCAAGAAGGCTCGACAGGTAAAATAGGTAGCACTTGCCACCAAGTCTGATGACCTAAGTTTAAATGCCAAGACCCACACTGACAAAGGAGAGAACCAATTCATCCAAGCTGTCCTCTGGCCTCCACATGCATGCTGTGGCAGATGCATGCCCACACATACATATGCACACATACATACAATAAATTAAACAAACAAATGTAAACTAGCTGTCATAATAAAGAATAAGTACCCATAATTTTCAATTCTACTTGATAAACACTTAAAACAGATTTTTTTTTTTT